GAATGTATACCTTAATTTATTCAAACAAATAAGTTAGATTTTTGATTTTAATGATAATAGGAACCACCCTAGAATTCATTGTCATAAAAATAAGGGCATAACCAGGGTGCCTTCCATTCATTTTGGCTATAAAAATGTTTTATGAAATTATGGAATAATAAGATATTATTATAATATTTTGTTTGTTTGTTTTGTTTGCAACAAGACAAGATTGTGGAGTTTGTGTTTGACACATAATACCAGCCAATGTTGCTGCATGAGAGTGGCAATAAGCGATTTTGTCATTTATCTCACCCACTTTTCGCTCTTCACTCTTCGCGAAGAGGCGATCATAAAATCGCTCATTTTGGCTCTGTCAAAGCTAAAATTTCAGGTTTTATGTGTCAAACACAAACTTTATAATCTTTTCTTGTTCCTTACACGTACAAAATACCATCATAATATCTTATTATTCCATAATTTCCTAAAACATTTTTTTAGTCAAAATGAATGGAAGGCACCCTGGGCATAACTATAAGGAACAACTTTGCAGAAGAGACTTTTAGTCTAAAGTTTCAATTTCAGGCTCAAAACATATCATTCCACCTTGATCTGCATTCTGGACCACTGTGCATTCATGCATCCACCAAAACCTCATTGATGCTAGAATCTGTCTAGTTGGCCCACTCTGGAGAAGGTTCTGAAGGGTATATTTTCGAAGCTCTTCAAGATTGATTTACTGCAAAATGGTCGTACTATAAACGCATTGAGATCCATTTGAAACCCGTATTTAAGCTACAATAAAACCTATTTGGCAACAATTAAAACCATTATCCGAGCCATTTACCCTAGCTGCTTGCTAAGTTCACTAGAAAAACAACAATCAAGATAAAAAAGGATTCATAAATACCATCCGATCTTATCAAAATAATTAAAATAAAAACTGATCTTATAAAAATCCTGCCGAATTTCCAAAATTATAATTAGTTCTCATAAAGTGGCCTAGTTTTAGGTGCCATATAAAATTTGATGTGAAATGTACGTGAAAACATCGAAAAACTTGAGTCCGCCCACGGAAAACATCGATTTTACTAATATTTAACATTAAGAAGAAAAAAAATATATTCTTCAGATCGATTATAGCCAAGATTTTTATTTCTCATGATTTTTGCATTCTAAATATTTTCTCATTGCTAAATTAACTAAAGTAAAGTTATATCCAACGAAATATAGATTGAAAATCAAAGATTGTAAAAAACAAACAAAATAATTGTAATATGCCGGAGGCATAAAAGTTGATTTTCATGGGCCATTTGTGAAAAAGTTATTTTGCTTTCAAGAAATCCTTAACAAATTCATAAGGTTTTGAAATGGCTTTTATGAAGAAAACTTGTAGACTGAATTGTATTTATCTAAGGCCATTTTGCTTCATCCTAACCCGTTCAGATTTATGGCAGCATTTATGGCGGCAATGTTGCCTACAAAATGTTAAACGTCAGAGTTTGTTTATCTTTCGATAGTTGTGCTGTGCGATTCAGCGTTCTTCCAGGCGATTCTCTTCCGGTGGCTTGGTGGCATTTCGCACAGCTTAAACCTCGATCATTCCCGAAAAGATCTCCTTCTTCCGGATGGTTCTGGAAGTGCACTATCAAACGATGCAGGAACGGTTGAATGATTTTTTTTTTTCAAGTGATGACCCTTTCACAGAATAAAATCGCAGCTATGGATCGGAAACCAACTAGTGTCCGCTAACTGACAGTTGAAGTGGTTTGCTGTCGGTACTGACGAAATTTATTCCGATATTCATCTATTGGCAAGGTCCGGAGAAGGCTGGTCTGTTTTCAGACTGTTTTGACAATGTTTTATGAATTTGAGGACCACGCTCACTTCACTCTTCTCCACCAGATGCTCAGTCGTTGATGGTACCCGTTCCGCCGGACGTGCTGGTTCTTATAAAGAACTAAATTTTACTGAAATCGACTTCCCTTCGGTTGTTTGCAGCGCTTGAATTGTTCCTCCAACTTCGTTTATCCTTCGAGATATCCTTGTCATAAATTTGGATTCACTATGAGGATCCATCCTTAAAGTTCAATTTGTAAACAGAGGAGATTTTATGATACACTTTTAAAAGCCTAAAAGGCAACAATATATGCATTTTACTCTCATGTAACACCGAATGGTTTTATGATTGCTTTTGTAATGATAGAACAGGTTTATAGAGTATTTTATCAAGACATTAATAAAAAAAAATGCTAATGAAGTTTATGATTGATTTTTAGAACAGTTTTATGGTGGGATTGAGAACTATTTTAAATTTATGTTTAAAACAAGACAGCTTTTGACTTCTCGTCAGACCGTAGAAGGTTTTTAAAACAGCGGAAAGGTGAACTACTAAGCAGGAACGTTTTACACTGTGCAATGCTGTATTTAAACTAAATGGATTATTCATTGCCATTATAAAACCATCATAAATCAGAGTGGATGCCAAATGATTGCAGAATTGTTACTTGGGTTATGACGGGTGCTATAATATATGGATCTTAGGACCAACATAGAATAATTCGTGATCCTGGCCATATAGAAAGTTACTGTCTTCAGCAAAGTTGTTCAAGTGACCAAGTCCTTTCGGATGGTTGCCATTTTAATTCAGAACTCTCTCACTACACAGCGCTAGTGTGCACATGAGCTTCGTATATAAGCTGTATCCCAAAATCCTGGCCATATAGAAGGATTCTATCTTGAGCAAAGTTGTTCAAGTGATCATGTACTTTTGTATGGTCTTCATATCAGTTCATAATTCTCTCACTACGCAGCGCTAGTGTGCATGTGAACTTCCTATATAAACTGTATCTCGAGAACCTGGTTATATAGAAAGTTGCTGTCTTCAGCAATGTTGTTCAGGTGACCAATTCCTTTCGGATGGTGGTCATATTATTTCAGAACTGTCTCACTACGCGGCGCTAGTGTGCACATGAACTTCCTCGATATGTTATGTATGGAAAACTTGTCCATATAAGATGTTGCTATGCCAGGACAGGAACCGGAGGACAGGAACCGGAAAAGGGATGATGTGTACAGGCCATAAATCTATTTCGGACGCCATTATAAAATCCAAGATGGCAACCATCGGTTCAAGAAAAACTGTCAAATACCCTACAATATGGGTATTTCTGGAAAGAAGATGACGTGTAGAGGCCGAAAATCGATGCCAGACGCCATTTTGGAAACCAATACAAGCTGCTTGAAGGTGGTTCTAAAGAACATAAATCAAAGCACGTTGGTAAACTGCTGGAAGAAAATTCTTCCGTCGTATTTCGCGAATTCACAATGCAATGAAGACGACAACGGGGATTTGCAGATCATGTCCGAAATTCAACAAATTCACGGAAATGTTGGTGCGCCGGGGATAAAAAACACAGTGAAATCAACGAAATCATTAGAGATGAACCAGCTACCGCACATGAAATTGTTAGCAAACTGGACCCATCTACAATGAATATGGATTATATTTTACAAAATTCGTTTCGATGCTACGATCAAGTTCACTTCACGGCATCGCGAAAGGCGTGCTGTGTCACAGAATTGACACGCATTTTGCAGTTTTGGTATTATGACAGTTAACATAACCCCCAGTTACACCATTTTTTTTTTTGCAGAAACCTGAACCTTAAACCTTTAAAAACTTTCAAGATTCTTAGACTAGACTAGATTATTTTTTTCAAAGAAATTTAGAGAAGATTTTAGAATGAATAACACCATGGTTTTTTTAGTGAAACCAACAGAGAGTTTTGGAAAGAACTTTTAATGATTTTAGACTTGTAAATGGAAATGCTGATAATTTCAAGGAAGCTTCATAAACTAACTGCGCAAACAGAAGGGGAATTCCGACAAATTATGGAACTTGTGTGAGTTCAGAGTAATTTTTCAAATAGCTCTGTGGAAAATTCCAAATCAAATGTCTAGTATATCACACCTAGAAATTATTATTTTTACACGAGACGTAATTCAGCTTTGATGTAAATCATGGAACGTAAACAAACATGGCATGTAAAATTAAGTGTCCTGAAGCTGAAACATATGCAACTCGACGAAAAGTGCGTTTTATTGAATTGAATTTCTCGTCCTTTTCAACTGATTCTTATGTCAAAAGGGCCGCTTGCATGTTTCGGTCTTCGGGCACTGAACTTTACATGTCTTTTTCGTAGTGTGTATCGAATTTTGAGCGTACAATTGTAAAGAAATTTTAATGATAATTTAAAGAAATTTCCGAGGATAATTCCAAGGGCATCATGAAACGAACTTCTGAAGAAATTTAAGGAAACTTGCAGCAGACTTTAGAGGAAAAGTCCAAGATAATTTTGAACAAAATTTCAAGACCATTCTGAAGTAGTTTTTTTGGAAATTCAAAAAGAGAATTAAAGCGAATTCTGAATAGAATTATAGCCGAAATCTTCAGGTAATTCCTAGAAAAAGCTTAAAAATTTAAATCTTAGGATTTATTCCATTTTTTTTTTATGAATATGCAGAGAACTTATGGGAATTGGGAAAACCTAAGACTGTTTATAGGACTCTTAGAGAGAATCTCCATCCTTTTTTAGAATAATTCTGATACAAACGCAGGAAAAAGATTCAAAGGAAATGTTTGCGAATATACTAATAAAATCCTGCAAAGATTTTTGATTAAATTTTTAGGAAAGTTAAAAGATCGATAAATTTTCAAGAATTTAAACACATAGATTGATAACTGTAACAGATATCAGAAACCTTGCCCCTACTTTATACATGCTCCTCTACATACCCCTATCTACTCTATGTATAAACGACGCCACTGTAGCTCGATCATGAATAAAACGTAATAAACACCACATGGTGTCAGAAGTGGTTTTCGCGCGCGGAAAAACCCGAAAAAACCGATGAAAATATCGCGGATACGGGAAAAATAGTTCGGAAACGCGAAACGTAAAGTTGGACAACGTAAATATTGATTGGATACGGATCGGTAAAGCGTAAAAGTTGCGAAAATGGTCGATCCACCACAGCCACCGCCTCAGCAGCAAGCGAACAGCGTACATAACCCCATTCAAAGTTTCTCAGCCCAGCCGCCGGAGAGAATCAACATCCGGAATCAAATTGACAAGGCGAGAATCTGGAAAGATTGGAGTCAGCAATACGAGTGGTTCGAGCTAGCAGCAGGAATTAAACAGCTCCCGGCGGAAAGGCAGGTCGGCATCCTCATGAACAGTCTGGGACCGGATGTAATAGGAACGTTTACGGGATTCCAACTGACGGAAGAGGAGAAAAAAGACCCGAATGTGATCAAGCGAAAGTTTGCCGAAGCGTTCAACCCTACTGCTAACCCTACGTACATCACGTACATATTCCTGAAGACTGACCAAGGCCCGGATGAAAGTTTTGACAGCTTTCTTATTAAGCTGCGACAGGCTATTGTGGATTGTGATTTCAATACTCCACAGGAAGGTATGTCTACGGAAGATCGACTGCTAAAGGACAAAATCGTGCTGGGAGTGCGCAGTCAAAAAGTTCGGGAGAAGCTCCTCAGTGACTCCAAGTTGACCCTTGAGAAAGCAATTCAAATCTGCAGATCCAGTGAAAAGATGACGGAAACGTTGCACCAGATCAGCTCTGACACGAAGAGTTGCGATGCCATCAAGGGAAGAGAAGCTGATAAACCTTTCAACTGCCGTAGGTGTGAAACTAAGCACGGAAAGAAAAGTTGTCCTGCATTCAAGAAAACCTGTCCTGTTTGCAACAAAACTGGACACTTGCCAGAGTGCTGCTTCAAAAAGAGCAAGGACCGGGAATCGTCTAGCAGTAGTAGCAAGAAGAATAAGGAGAAGAAAACAGCGTCTATCGTACAGGAAACAGAAGATTCGTCGGAAGAGGAACATGTGAACCTGCATCTGCACGCAATTCAAGCTCAGAAGAACTCCAGGACGGATGATGACGATTGGTTCGAGGAAGTGTTCGTGGGACCTGCGAAAATTACGTTAAAGTTGGATTGTGGAGCACAATGCAATGTTTTGCCATTGGATCTGGCTAGGAAAACTGGCGCGAAGTTACAGGACTCATCGACCAAGTACATCGTCTCGTACAATGGACACCGGAACAAGGTGGAAGGCGAATTCACAATGAAAAGTGTAGTGAAAGGTAAAGAAGAGAACATAACCTATAAAGTTGTGGATCTAGACGTCGTTCCTGTTCTTGGAAGGACCAGTTGCGTGAAGCTGAATCTGCTTAGGCGAGTACACGTCGTGAGAGAGGACACCAACATTTTCAAAGGTTTGGGCTGTCTGAAAGGATTTGAGTACGAGTTGGACTTTAAGCCGGACGCAAAATTCGAGATTCGACCAGCAAGGATGATTCCGCACAAAATTCGAGGAGAAGTGAAGGAGGAACTGGAAAACATGGTGAAACTGGGAGTTATAAGGAAGCAAGAAGAACCAACACCAGTGGTAAGCAACCTAGTAGTGGTCCGGAAGAATAAGAAGATTCGACTGTGTATTGATACGACAGACGTGAATAAAAGCATTCTCCGCAGACACTATCCACTCAGGACGATTGAGGAGATTGCGGCAAGGATCCGTGATTCAACTTGGTTCACCAGACTGGACTGCAAGAAGGGCTTTTGGCAGATCCAAGTAGCGGAGGCGTCCCAAAAATACTTGACATTCGGAACGCCATGGGGCTGCTACTCATGCAAACGTATTCCATTTGGTCTCGCATCAGCACCAGAGGTGTTCCAGAATCAGATCTCAACGCTGCTGGATGGACTAGATAACACGGATGTCTCGATGGATGATATATTGATATATGCAACAAGCGAAGCGAAACTAAAGGAGATCACAGCGAACGTTATTGACCGCCTAGATCGCGCTGGATTGAAGCTGAATAAGGAAAAGTGTCGGTTCGCCGTTAGATCCGTGAAGTTTCTTGGACACATCGTATCGGCGGAGGGACTGAAACCAGACGACGAGAAAATTGTGGCAATCAGAAGGCTGAAAGTACCGGAAACCAAGAAGTAGTTACAACGTTTGCTTGGAATGGTAACTTACCTTTCGAAATTTATTACTAACCTCTCGCAAATTACAGCTCCTCTAAGATTGCTACTCCAGAAGGAAGTTGCTTGGGTTTGAAGCCACGAACAACAAGCAGCATTCGAGAAGATAAAAAGACATCTCTCAAGTCTCCCAACGCTGAAATTCTATGAACTGAATTAGGAAAACGTGCTATCGGTGGACTGCAGCTCACACTCGATGGGAGCAGTTCTCCTGCAAGAAGGACACCCGGTAGCATATGCATCTAAAGCGCTGACTCCATCTCAACAAAATTATCCTCAAATTGAAAATGAGGCCTTTGCAATTAGATTCGGATGTCAGAAGTTTCATCCTTATATCTTCGGGAGGCCGGTAACAATTGAAACCGACCATAAGCCTCTTGAATCGATATTCAAGAAACCATTGGATAAAGCCCCACCACGACTGAAACGCATCATTCTCGATGTCCAACCGTATGCACCGTCGATTATCTACGTAAGAGGAGAGAATGTACCAATTGCTGATACGTTAAGCCGTGACGTTGACAACCCTAAGGAGAAAAACGAGGATGAGCTAGAGGTTCACGTGGTACTCAACGTGACGAAGCCGTGGATGGATCAAATTGTAGCTGAGACTGAAAGGTCTGAAGTGTTGCAGAAACTAATTCGCTGCTTACTCGAAGGATGGCCAGAAGAACTAGCACATGTGGATGGTGATCTCCAGCTCTATTGGAACTTCAGAGATGAGTTATCAACGTATGAAGGTGTGATTTTCAAGGGTGACTGCATTCTGGTACCATAATCGCTTCGAAAGAAAGTACTGAGCCTTACGCTTGCTGGACACTTCGGAATCCAGTCTTGCATTAAACGTGCGAAACAGTTAGTGTTCTGGCCTGGCATGGGCCGTGACATCCAGCGGTATGTGGATGAATGCAGCGTGTGTCAAAAGCACAGTCGAAGTTGTGTAAAGGAACCGATGATCGTCAAGAGGATTCCTGACTATCCATTCCAGATAGTCGCTTCGGATATTTTCCACTTCAACGGAGTAAATTATCTGGTACTCATCGATAGCTATTCGGGATGGATTGACTTTAAAAAACTGCGCACGATGGAGTCATCGGAGGTAATAGAGAAGCTGGAAACATGGTTTGCAGTTTGGGGAGTTCCAGAAGAGCTCAACAGTGATAACGCGAAGCAGTATACGTCACAATTGTTTAAAAAGTTTTCATCAACGTGGAATTTCGAACACGTAACGTCGAGCCCGTACTATCCACAAAGCAACGATCTATCTGAAAGAGCAGTTCAAATAGCCAAGAACATTCTAAGGAAGTGCAAAGAAGACAACAGCTCCGTACAGCTTGGTTTATTGAACTACCGCAATATTCCACGATCTAAGGAACTATTGTCGCCGAACCAAAGGATTATTAGCAGGATAACAAGAACTCCGCTGCCGATAGTAGAAGATAAGCTAAAACCAATTGTTGTCGAAAACGTCAAGGAATCCCTAGAAGCTGCGAGGCAGAAACAGAAGGACTACTATGATCGAGAAGCTCGGAAACGCCTAGAATTGGATGTCAACGATAATGTACTGGTGCAGAATCAGTTGACTAATATCTGGGAGTCGGGTAAAGTGATCGCCAAAACGGACACTCCACGGTCTATTATCGTTGAGAAAAACAACGGTGACATCGTTCGACGCAACATGAAGCATGTAAGGAGATCCGTTGTCTCGATTACACCTAAACCCGAAGCCATTAGTGAAGATGATCCCGAGAATCCCGAAGGAATCGATCCCGATGGACCGTCATCCGAAACTGGAAATACGCCGTCATCGTCGCCAGCTGTATCACCACAGGGTCAACCTTCTCTACCAGTTCTTCAATCCAATGATGATAGCGGCATTCAGCCATACGTGACAAGAGCAGGAAGAACGATCAAACCAGTAACCAGACTAAATTTGTAGTTGTTCTTTTTGAAAAGGGAGATGTAACAGATATCAGAAACCTTACCCCTACTTTGTACATGCTCCTCTACATACCCCTATCTACTCTATGTATAAACGACGCCACTGTATCTCGATCAAGAATAAAACGTAATAAACACCACAATAACCATGGAATGTTATTTTTAGTCTGCTCAGAATTCCCATTCATTCTTTGAAATGTTTCTTTTAATTTTTTTAAAAATTATCACCGGAATATCCTTAAAATACTCATCAGAACTCCTTTAAAAAATTTCTCAAAATTTTGTTAGAACTATCCTCGGAGTACAGAATTCAATTTTACCATTTAATGGTATTTTTAAGCAATAAAAACAGCTTTTTATCTGTCACGGATTAGTATTTGAAGTCGCGGATTTCTTTTATTTGATCGGGTTACGTGGATCAATATTTTAAGATCTTAACATCGTCGGCATAGAATATTCGCTGTCCATGTGGCAACACAAAGGCAATGTCATTTATGAATAATGAGAAAAGCAGCGGTCCAAGATTACTCCCTTGCGGTACTCCAGAAGGAATCCTAAACGGTTCCGAATGTGATGAATCAATCCTCATTCTCACGGATCTTTCAGACAGATATGATCTAAACCAGCTAACAAGCGCGGAAGATACCCCCAGCTTCTCGAGTTTTTGCAACAGGATATCATGATTCACACGATCGAATGCAGCCTTGAAGTCCGTGTATACGGCGTCCACTTGTGAACCAGCGTCAAAAGAGCGTATGCAGAGTGAGGTGAACTGAGTGAGGTTAGTAGTAACAGATCGTTTCGGTTAGAATCCATGCTGGGCACATGAAATGTAGTTTTTGGTGGCTTCAAAGAGAGCGTTGTTTACAATTATTCCAAAAACCTTAGAGCAAGCGCTCAAGGACGTTATTCCACGGTAATTGACGACGTTACATTTGTCACCCTTTTTGTGAATCGGTGACAGAAACGAAGTTTTCCATCCAGCAGGAAATTTTTGCTGTTGGAACGATAGATTGAACAGTTTTACAAACGGTGTCATCAGAGAACTCAAGCAGTTTTTCAACACAGATGAAGGAATCCCATCAGGACCGGGTGACACATAAAACAGCAGCCTCTATCTGCGGTGGTGTAGCAGGCGTATTTGAGAAGACATTCTTGGAGTGTTCAGCAAAGATCCCACATTTACTAGAGGCTGTGCTAGCAAATCGATCGCCGAAATACATGGACGTAGGCAATCCATCCTCCTTGCGTTTAGTACGAACAAAAGACCAGAACTGTTTGGGATGTAGACGCAAATTTCTCTGCGTACGATCAACGTATCGAGCATACAATAGACGATTATACCGTGTGTACTTGTTACTTGCCATTACAAAGCGATGTTTGGAATGCTGCGAACGACTCCGACTATACGTTCCAAGTGCAGATCCCCTACGGCGCTTCAACTGGCGGAGGCTCCTGTTCGTCCAAGGAGGCTTCAGTGGAGGGCGCTGAAGAGGCCCGTGAGCTTCGGTGACTTGACGTATCTCCGTGTTGAAAATACATACCAAGAACAACATGTGAAAAGGGCATACAAGCTTTTTGTAAACAAACCTTCTTATGCCCTTTTCTCGCCACCCATATGATACCAACGCAAACCATCAACATTAACGGGTAGAAGAAGCATTCCCCTTTCCGATGAAATAGTTGTTTTGCGTAGGCGACCCTCGGTTGCCGAGAAAGGGCCCACAAATGTTTGTTTACAAAAAGCTTGTATGCCCTTTTCACATGTGGCTCTTGATACAATATCGTCCAGATCCTGATCAGAATCCAAAAATTGCCAATCGATTGATAATAGCGCATCATTCATCGAACTATAATCAGCCCGACGAAAATCGAACCAGCAGTCGTCCTAGAGATGGTTCAAATGACACTGGTACCGAAATAGAAACGGTGACGTCAATAGAGAATGTGGAGTATCAATTTCTACGAGCGGTTCAGCCGCTTCGGATACGCAACAGCTTGATAACGCTGAGTCATTCACGAGTACTAAATCGAGAATCCGTGAACTGGAGTTCTTCACAGTATTGATTTGTGTCAGACCCTGGAAGCAGAAGGCATCGTACAATGCACAACTAGCATTCGTTAATCTCGATGTATGGGAATCTATTGTGAGGCCACCATCCTCTGATGGTACCCAGTGCATTTCACGATGATTATAGTCTCCAAACTGGAAAGCAAGGTCATGAGGCCTCAAACCGGAAAGGATTGAATCAATGGAGTCAGTATGCTGCTGTATGAGCGACAAGTCGTCTCTACATTCAGGTGAGACCATACGCACTCCAATACTGACATCATAGTTCTGCAGTTTGATTTTGATCCAAAGCTACTCGAGAGCATTACTTATCGGAGCTGGATCAATACAGCAACACAATTTAGAAGAGACGGCTATCAATACACCTCCACCACGAGTTTTTCGACTGTTCAAAGAGCTACGATCTGTCCTGAACACAGTGAATAATTGAGTAGACAAGATGCAATCGTTCAGCCAAGTCTCAGTTAGCACGATAACATCATATTTCGAGTAAGTTGTAGCTAAGAAGAAAGAATCTATCTTTGTCCGAAGTCCTCGTGCATTCTTATAGTATATGCGTAGCTCGGAAGTTGTTGAGGAAGGATTGTCACAAACTTCTCGGCCGTTCCTCGGCGGAATGCAATGAATTTGAGTGGGTGTTGCGCTGAAATCCAAATGTTGATCACGAGGAGAATCACCGAGAAAGCACGCATACTTGCCTGAAAAGCCAGGATGGGAGACCCTCGCCCCATCTCCGACCACAGGGCCGGAACGACTTTGACTGCAGGATACCACAGATGACTGGCAGGAAACGGCAATTGGCTCGCGGTCTTTCTTAATTCCAACATCTGAAGACTGTTTTCTTTCTTAATTCCAACATCTGAAGACTGTTTTGACTAAAATGCTTATGTAATGGGCAGCAACAGCGGACAGATAAACTACTTACAGTTTCTATTTTATTAAATGCTTGATATAACGATTGCCAGCAACGGCGTCTGGGCGTATCCTATGGCTCCCTACTAACCAAAATCCACCCTTCCCGTGACACTTATGAGGGGTCGTAGCGTTCTCTGCATCTCTCTTAAGTAAATGTCGGACTGATGCCTCCCCTTTCCCCACCAGATGCAAGAACGTGGCTATGACAGCTCTGGTCTGTTGGAGGGAGACACATCCTTTATCTAAGAGGTAGTAATTAATCACAAATTACTATCTAACAGCAACGGATGAAGGTGGGTCTCCTTCTTAACAACAGTTTGGAGCTCGTACCACCTAGGACATTGTGCAACCTGGTTTATGCTATGCTATCAGGTGCTTATTTCAAAAGTTTATTTGGACCTTTCCTAGACACTTGCCCTTCGCTCCACTGTTCTGACTAAAAAATAACACGGGCAGGACAGTAAAACTGAGTAGCTACACAGTAAATGAGTTTCAATATTGTGGTCTGTGGTCTATGGCATGCCTATATACATTTCTTTGAAATACTTTCTGGAATATCTTGAAATTCTGTTCAGAAATTCCTTGGATTTCTCCTTTGAATTCTTATGGAACTCTTCTCTAAAATGCCTTGGCATTTTTCTCGAAGTACCGTTAATACTCGCCTCAGAATTCCCTTGAAACTCAGCTCATCTTAGAATTAAATTTTCTTGGAATTCTTCACAGAAATCATTGGAATTCTCCTCTAAATTTTCTTGAAACTCTCTGTTGAAACTCTCTATGTTTGTAAAATTCTTCGAAAAATCGGCGTAAAGGTTGTGCTTCGTAGGATGGAAACTACGGCTCAATCCTAATATTTGACAATCACTTTCATTCATGTTTAAGATGTTAAAATCGTTAAGCTTTAATTCCGAAATGGATGATTTTTAATCAGAAACGTCAACCCACACACACAATTCACGTTATCATCGAAAAACTTCCGAACCAAAACCCATTTCCCATTGAAATTTCACATCACACACATTGCATCTCCGCCGAGTCTCGCCTGCAAATCGCACATATGCATTTATTTCCTTCATCATCGCATCAGAAACGCTCACCCAACATCCGCATTAGGAAAGCCACATGACTAAACACATTTCACTGCACAGCGATGGCGACGGCGACGACGAGTTTGCAGTGCAACATTTCGTAACAAATGGGCATGAATTCGCGTATACTTACACACACACATACCCATGCCTACCTAGATCGAATCCGATCCGCGTACTTTCCGACCATTGTTTGTGCCCATCGCCTGTGCCTACTACATAGTGCACTTTCTGTTGCAGTCAAATAGCGTTGCGAAAAATAAACCAGGCAAGCGGAATCAACCACAGACAACCGCCGCCGCCGCCACCGCCAGTTGCAAGAAGAAAATGGGGGGAAAAGACCGCATTCACCTTCGGTTCGTTTGTGCAGGATGGTGGAATGGTGATTCAGACCCGACTGCTTGCAGAAATCCGGGTTTGGATTTATCAAATTTGCCAATCCGACTAGCACGTGGTCGGTTTGTATTTCGGCTCTGCGGGGGGTGGAATTGAAAATTTGATCATGCCCGAAATAACTGCAGCAGAAAGTGTCGCACATCTGGTAAAATGCTGAAGTATGGACTTATACAACGAAGAGAAAGAGAAATCATTAAGCTCAAACTCAGGAAATCACGAAACGAACTACATATATCCCAAAGGTACTTGGGCGGCATAGGTGTATTTGTTATTGTCTGATGGAAGTCACGCATTCCACACGCTCGGATGAAAGAAACAGGAAAACAAACGATCACGTCAATCAGTCTTCCTAACTTATTCCTTTTCCAGCAGCCATGGTTCCACCCCTTCTTCCTCGGGCGAAAAAATATGTGTAAACCAATTCAGGTGTCACGCAGCCACATTTTCAAAAAGTAATCAGCTTCGTATTGAGGGCTCTGCTTCCATTAGGTATGTGACGACTGCCACCCGGCCGGAGATAGGTGGGACGTGAATCAATGATATGCTTTATATTTATGTTTTCTAATCCTCGGCGGGCGACTCGGGGGAGAGAAAAGTTCGTCGCTTGCGGGTCATTCAAGTCGTTCACTGGATCGCGATGTTTCTTTCCCATGCACATTCGAACACGCATCCATGGTGGTAACATTCCTTGAATTCTTTCCTTTGGTTTGATGAGTTGGGTTTACACCTTTGTTCAGTCTTATGGGTACTTGTTCTCTATAGGACTGAACTACATATGCATACTGAGATATGATAAAATGCTTTTTAGACGGTATTTACTGATTGTAGGACAAAGGACAAGAGGTCAAATGTTAGAATCCATATCAGCTGGTGGGCCAGAAATTTTAATTTTAAGATTAAATCTGGAATCCCTCCACTTCACGTTTTTACTGGCACTGATCTCGCCATCCAGAGTTCTTACGGAAGTTAAAATTAAATGAGCTGCTTGCTTCTCTGCAGCAGACATGTAGATTAATTTTGAACTTTGTGCATTAAGTATATCGTCATGCGATCAAATTCCCGTGACATTGCGGTAAAACAAATTGTATGGAAAATGGATTCCGTCAATAGTGCCCTTAAACTGGAACCGGTTTTTATTCGGTACGTTTTTAACTTCTTTGCATTCACATTATCTGTTTATAAATCTGTTATTTAAATACGTAATTTGTATGTCCAGAATGAATACCTGCTGCATAGATTTATGTCGAAAACATGGCGGCACACATGAATAAACCACATGTCTGTTTCTTTAAGGGTGGTATAAATAAACCAAACAAAACCAGACGCAGGGATCGTCCATGTATCTTCAACTTTAAATGTCACGCAATCTCAATTTACTAGCCTCAAAAATAAAACCAGACAGACAGCAAATTCCTCACTCTAACCGCCTCATTTTTTTCCTTCGTCTCTCATTTTCAGGAATCTCCACCCTCGATCGTTAACCCTCCGTCATCCGTCCCACACCGTCCGTATTTAATCGTTCCAATGAAGTCTTCAGAAGATGATCATCCGGTATCCTGGCAACAGCAACGCACAATGCACTATCAGCCCGAGCACACCGACAATTACCGCCGCCGGCTCAACCTATAGCAACGCCGAACCGAGACTCCAGCAGCAACAATCAGATTATCGTCATCTGCTTCACCGTCGTCATCCCGTTGTCGTCAGCCACTGATCGACAAAAACCGGAAAAGAGCAGCTACTCGCCAGAGCAACGAGATTGCCATCAAACCCAAACCCAAGACACATACACATAATAACAGAAATTAGCGTCGCGCAACGAATTCAGTATGAAATTGCCTCACAATAGAATCATCGTTAACGGATATTATTAAGCAAGCGAGACGAAAACGAGAGTGGGAGCGGAATTCGCTGATTGAAAGCGAAAACAATTTCTCGCTCGCCTGCGACAAAATCAAAAGCGCAACGAACGCCCGGGCAATTTTGCACAAACTGCGAGCGAAACGAAACCGAAATCAAAAATGTCATTCAAACGGTCCAGCAGCGTGGCAGCGACGCTAATCCATCAGACGTGCGTCTACGGTCTGATCGGTTTGCTCGTGGCGTCCCAGCTGTCACATGCGACCACTACTTGCAGCAACTCAGAAGACTGTACAAACAACGAAAGCCTAGCCACTAGTAGCAGTAAATCTAGGAGATCGGCGTCACCCATACTGAACGACGTCGGTACGAGAAACAAAGACTTTCTACTATTCGAAAACAATAAAGTTGATCAGGATGTCAAGCCATCGGAGGCCTCATCGAAGCAACGAAGCGGGAAGGATCTACTCGATGATTCGTTTCACTTCAGTAAGAACATGGCGATGAACTTGACGGGTCAGTCTCCAAACGCACCACCCTTCATCGTGGCGAACAACATCAACGGCAGACAGAACTCGAATCCGGATATTCAGGACATAATTACCGGTATCGTCAAGTTGTTAAACGGTAACGTAAATGTACATGCCAATACGCAACCAACCCGGAGGCACTCAGCTACCAGAATCAATAACCGAGGTCCTCCAAGAATCTCAGAAGCTCAACCCGTGCCCAACGAATACGAGGGTGAACTTACGTCCCCGCCAACCTCTTCACGTCCTCCGTACAACTTCGAAAGACCACAAACACCAGTCAGACCTTTCCTGACGGGTGTCCCCATCCCGGAGCAGATCGTGCCTTCGATGCAACAAACCAACCGACCGGGATTTGTGTCGCAAAACCGTCCACCGTGGCAACGACCCAAACCAAGGCCACCGATTTCGCCCAATCGACGACCGATGCCACCGTACAAGCCTTACCCCACGAACATAGATTTCGTAAAACCGGAAGTCGATCGCGCCCCCATAACTGTCGCCCCAAATGAAGGTAATTCGATCAGTGAAGCTACCGAAAAGCAACCGACGGGTGACGATTCGGAGGTTACCTCCAAACCAGCCGCTACTACAACCACCGAAAGCGAAGCACATGAAACTACCACCGATCCACCCGTCCAAGAGATCAAGGAGGAGAAACCTGCCAAGAAGGTCGACAAACCCAGCTCGAAGCCCGCCATGACGGAAGTTCAGTATACGATCGAGCCTGCCGATGGTGACCACGCACAGGCAGATCCAAGTCCGATGTCATCGGAACCTTTCCAAACCGAAGTGCCAAGCGTCTACGAAATCAACTCTATCGAATATCTCCCATCAACTGCGGACACTACTGGAAGCATCCTGCTGGAGCCTTCCACAACCGAAACTTCCACTCCGGTGGAGTTAATCACCCCAACGAAAACGGTATCAACCACCATAATCTCAACATCTCCATCCACCACCTCAAACACCCCCATGATCATCTCGACCACTCCGATGGCAGCCAATCACAGGCCCGAGGAATCCACCAGCAGTTCTACCATCCCAACGCCAACACTACCACCTCCGTCCGGTGCACCCACAACCACCGATTACCGTTTCCATCCCCGCCCCGGTTTGGTCCTGGACGATCCGGACTTCAAACCAGGCGGTAACAAACCCATTCGCCCACAGAACCACTACCCTCCGCAACCGGAGATCCATGGATCAACGGGCGTTCAACTGCCCGCCTATGGGGAAATCTTCGACGTGACACTTTCCGCCATCCAGGGTCCGGCTGGTTCCGGCTCGCAGCAGACAGTCAAATTCAATCCCTATCGACCTCAGAACAACAACAACAACCAACAGGATGATGCCAGTATCATTCTCACAGCCAGCGGCAGCGAGGGGTTCGTCTCGATCGATGGCAAACGGTCCTACATCGATCTGTTCGGTGACTCCAAAACCATCGTCCCTACAACGACCAGCGAAACGATTCGACCCACCCAGGTACCCCTTCCCGGAATAACCGGAACGGGTTACGCCGTAGCCGAAACGGAGCCACCTCAACCGCAAGCCCCGGTTGCACCCCAGCAGCAACCTCCACAACCTCCGGCGCTCGCCCACCCTCCGCCGACTCAGCAATCTCCCGGAGGACATCGACCGATCCACCATCGGCCCAAGTACCCAAGTGCCCTGCCACCGGTTCGGATCGATACCTGCATCGTGGGAGACGACTCAACCTGCGATCAGGCCCAGAACGAACGCTGCAAGACGGAGAATGGAGTGTCCAGTTGCCACTGCCGGCCGGGTTATGCCCGGCGGAAACATCGGGAGCCCTGCCGGAGGATTGTGTCGCTGATGCTGTCCATGCGGGTGGACAAGATATACGAGCGCCGGATCCAGTGGGACAATGTGCTGACTAATCGGGACAGCGAGAAGTTCCAGCAGTTGAGCTACGAAGCTGTGCGGGCGGTAAGTTGAAGCATGGGGTTTGAATTGATTAATTGGGTCGGGTGACGGTGTGCGTTTTTTTTCGCTTCAATCTTTGGGTTGGGTTGAATATCTAAAATCTACAGTTTACTTTAAATGACTCCTGTGTTAGGGGTAGAGGCAGTATTTGTCACTCGCACGCATTTATGACTTTCTATGTGTGGAGCACTTTTTATCCAAAATGCAAGTTCACTTTTACACTTTTAAAAATGTACTATGTATATGTGAATCATTTTGAGCGGTTTTTGCTATGAGCCACTTCTAGTTACTAGTCCAATCCTTTGTTAGAAAAATATCGATAAAAAATGTGTTAGTTCAAGATCTCCAGATGAAAAACTTCTGTAGTACTCTCAAAGCGTTATCGCTGACTTCAATCTGCGAGTTTCAATTGCAATCTTACAAGCTTACGAGTTCATTAAAAAAATCAGTCCACCACTTAGCTTACACCATGGTGCTTTAATCAAATTATTGGGCACCAAAACTAGTTAAATATAGCGCAACAAAAAAACACATCCGAAACCGAAACCGATTTGAATGTACGCTTCGCTCTGGCCCGAAATCTGAACAAACAGATCAAAACCAGAGCATAGTTCTTGTTATTAATTTAGTGGAACATACCACCCCAAAAAAAAAAGTAGCCCCACCTCCGAATCGTAATCAAATTTGCTCCAATCTCTCCTCGCGCATAAATACCTCGAGCCATCACGCTTTTCTCCGTGACCGTGAACATGAAATGGAAAAACTCTCTCGAAATCTTGCCACCTTGCCACAGAGTGCACAATCGAATCAATGCACGAGACGGACGCACCTCCTCAAAGCCACACTACACTTGCAACTGCTAGCAGTGCGCCAATAAAATTAGCCTTTCTTCCATCATCCATCGCCATAGGTGATCTATATTTTCATTTCTCGCTTTTCTTTTCGCTACTGGCTTGCGCTCGTTTCATTCAGCAATCCGACTGCCTATCTATTACTATTGCGGCAACCATAAGCCGATAGCCAATGGTACTGTGGCCGCTCTCTCCTCTAGCTCGTTACCGATATGTATCTTTCACTATCTCCTGGCAGGTGGTATCTAATTGAAAAGGCCGTGAAAAACCGGAAAATCGGAATTTCGAAAAACAAACGTATAACGATGACGCCCAGCAGGTATGCAATCTGTGACCAAGTACCACTCCGTCAAGCATTTATGAGGGCATGGAAAAACTAAAAATTCATTTGCCATTTACCTTTCACCCAAACTGCAAACGCACGCCTCCCCAGTCTAATAAAATATCAATCCGAATGAAAACACTAATTTGTATCGTTTCTTTCTTTTCCACTCCACTTGCTGCGGTACCAACCTCAACGACGACACACACACACACACCCCAGATGGACTCCGCTATGTCAATGACACCATTTTCGGACGAGTTCATGGAAGCGCGGGTGAACGGAATCTACACCACGAATCCGGCTGCCACCGGGCTCCGGGGAGTCTTCGTCAACTACACGATCAGCATGGACGAGAATGCGGAGACGCTGCGGCCGCAGCTCAAGTCCGATATTCAGCGGCACCTGCTGGGGGTGATCCACCGGCGGAATAACAATATCGGTAACTCGGCTCTGTACGTGGACAGTCCCACGGGGGCAGTGTCCAGCGTGCAGGACGTGGACGAGTGCACGTCGGATGAGCTGAATGACTGCGACGACGACGCCAAGTGTACCAACATGTTCGGGACGTTCCGGTGTGAGTGCGGACTCGGCTACCGGGACCCGTGGGCCGACCAGCAGCAACGGGCCGGGCGGGAGTGTTTGGCATGTCCGGATTCGTACTGCAACAACCGGGGAACATGCATGTACGACAATTCAAACAACAAACAGGTCTGCAAGTGCCTGGGAAGCTACTACGGGACGCAGTGTGAAATCGACGGCGAGGTGCTGGGCGTCGCGGTAGGTGCCTCGGTGGCTGCCGTGGTGATCATCGTTCTGACGTTGATTTGTTTGATCATGTGGAGGTAAGTTTTACTATGGCGATTAGTTTATTTATTAAAAATGTTGACTACATATTAGAGTGGTTTAAAATATCGATTTTGCTCCACCAAGCTTAATCGATTTCAAATTAGGTCCCGGTAATTCTTCCAAAATTTGAGCTCATTTTGATGCGAACTCATACTGCACTGGCCCTTTGAAGTTTATATGGGAATTAGTGTGGGAAAAGCGAACTTTTTGTTCTTCGCCGTATTAATTTGTGGAAAAGTTTATCAGTACTAATGTGAAATTTTCTCAGCTGCAACTTTGCTGAAGACCACATTTGGATTGAACTTCACACGGAACCGAAAAATTACCCAAAATTAAGTTCTTTTCACTCATCTCCCATGTTCCGTTCAATAAGCTTATTTTCAGTAAACCGCTAGTACACGGTAAAAAAACATCATGTTCATGTAAAGTGATTTGCTGTTGAATTTGCACCACTTGCCAAACATTGCAAATCGATGTGCAAATGCCTTGGAAGAGATCATATCGAAGCACGATGAAATCAACAGCAAATCACTTCATTTTAGATTGTATTGCACATCGTTGTTGATTTGCTGTGCTTTGAACTCGGAATGTCAAGCATACTGATATTAAAAATCTATCACTAGTTTAACTAATTTATCCTTGGATTTCATGTTTGCTGAATATGGATTTAAATAATATATTGCCTTGTTCATACTGCAAGCCTTGTTATATGTTATTCAGAATATGGCCATAGAACATGTATCATATAACTACCCAGGTCACATGTGTCCAAGTGATATTGAACAACATTACAAGGCTTGTAGTAGATGTAACATTGAGCAATCAATTTGATAAGTTTGACAATGTTTTGTAATACAACTTATCTGAATAATATACTATTATTGAATACAGCAACAATTTCGTAATACTCGCGCTCTAGAATGCAAATTATTTTGGGTTGAAATGGAGAATTATCGCTTTCTCGCTATTAATTAATTTGTTGTAAAATCTTCGCGAGTAATGTTTGGCATATACGTTTTTGACATTTGCTTCCAAAAGCAAAACTTATCAAATTCAATAGATGAAAACGGTGGTGCCAATTCAAATTATAATAATTTTGATTTAATGGTGTTATACAGTACATATTTTTCAACGACAAATCACTTTGTTTGAAAACCGCAAATCACTTGAAATCACTTCGATTCGTACACTGTACACAAACATCATCCTCTGATCGAATGAAACCTCAGACCATTCAAAACAAATCATCGAAATCGCTTTTTCGTATGATACCTGCAACGGATGACGGTTGTTTTGAAATCAGATGATTTTCCTCTAGAAAACAGGATGAAAATTGTTATGAGAAGGGATAGGGCCTTCAGTTGAAATGCGTAATGCTCTCTGCAGAATGACTGTCATACTAAATGGAAATGCATATGGTATTGGTTCAGCCCCATAACGCAAATCATTCAAAACGATGATGTAAATAATTCTATCGAATGTCATTTGCTGATCTGAGCTGACAAACGAGGTGGAAGCATATGTATCGCTATCAGAGCTGTGTCGAACATAGGTAAAGCATGACAACCAATGTTTGGCTTATTCGTTGTGGAGGAGGTTTCCTCCACCACGGAAAAATTTTGTATCAATAATGGAATGGCTTATTATGGCTATTCAGTATAGAAATGTAGATAATCAAATTATAAATCTATTTAAAAGCACTTGCATGTCACACTATTCTTAAATGTTTGTCCTCTGAGTGCCGTATGTTTTATAGCTAATTTTCAAACGAAAATCATCCTGTATTTGGATGATAATCATATGGCTGTTCATCATTTGACGACGAATTCAACCATAAGAAAATCATCCGAAATTCGAATGCATATTGTTAAAGGGCTCGAGCAATGCAATAATCATTCGAAGTATTGCGGATGTTTTGGTTCAGTGTAGTGTCGCATGAAAGACTGAGTCAAGTGCAAGGGCATTTGGATTAGATGTAACAACTTTTTACCGTGTGGGAAAAGCGAACTTTTTGTTCTCATCGCCGTAATAATTTGCGGAAATCAAGTTGCAACTTTGCTGAAGACCACCTTCGGATTGAACTTCAGGATAATTAGTTATTTATTAATTAGGAAGATGACATTCTTCTGACATGCTCCATAAACTGCTGAGCAGGCAACAATGGTGTGCTTGACGCGACGAATATATCATAAGTGCAAGATGCAGTGTTGCCCTGAAAGCAGTCAACTAATCAAATCAGAATGTTATCGGCTTCGAAATCAATTAATAACTAATAACCTTGAAGTCCAAGCAAAAGATGGTCTTGGACAAAGCCTTAGCTGATAAAATTTCACATATGAGCAGATAGCTAACTTTTCCGAAATTTGTTATGGCGAAGTGCTAAGATTTTTTTTCTTTTATTATAGTCACTTTAACACTCTTGGGTCATTCGTGACTTGTCCGGAGGTGAGATTTGAACTCGCGACTTTTGCATACATATACATTCAAGATAAGACATAATCAACAATAGTACGCCACAATAATCGGTTTGCGGCTGCCGCTCTCCATCCTCGGTCATGCCCAATGCTCGCTAGATCACGCTCTACCTGGTCCGCCCATCGTGCTCTCTGCGCTCCACGCCTTCTTGTGCCAACCGGATCAGTAGTGAGCACCAACTTTGCAGGGTTGTTGTCCGGCATTCTTGCAACATGCCCTGCCCACCGCATCCTTCCGGCTTTGGCTACCTTCTGGATGCTGGGTTCGCCATAGAGTGCAGCAAGCTCGTGGTTCATTCTTCGCCGCCACTCACCGTTCTCCTGCACACCGCCGAAAATCGTCCTTAACACACGTCGAAAACTCCGAGTGCTTGCAGGTCCTCCTCGAGCATAGTCCATGTCTCGTGTCCATAGAGGACCACCGGTCTTATTAGCGTTCTGTACATTTGGTGCGAGGGTGAATCTTTTTTGACCGTAGTTTCTTCTGAAGCCCGTAGCAGGCACGACTTCCACTGATGATGCGCCTTCGTATTTCACGACTCACATTGTTGTCAGCCGTCATTAAGGATCCAAGGTAAACGAATTCCTCCACTACCTCGAAAGTATCCCCGTCTATCGTGACATTACTTCCTAGACGAATCCTGTCATGTTCGGTTCCGCCTACTAGCATGTACTTTGTTTTTGACGCACTCACCACCAGTCCGACCTTTGCTGCTTCGTGTTTCAGGCGGGTGTATAGTTCTGCCACCGTTCCAAATGTTCTTGCGATAATGTCCATGTCGTCCGCAAAGCACACAAATTGACCGGATTTCGTGAAAATCGTACCCCGGCTGTTGAGCCCGGCTCGTCGCATTACACCTTCTAGAGCAATGTTGAAGAGTAGGCATGAGAGTCCGTCACCTTGTCGCAGTCCCCGGCGAGATTCGAATGAACTGGATAGTTCACCCGAAACCTTTACGCAGTTTTGCACACTGTCCATCGTTGCTTTGATCAGTCTGATCAGCGTCCATGATTTTCCATAGCTCTGTGCGGTCGATACTGTCGTATGCCGCCTTAAAGTCGATGAACAAATGATGCGTTGGGACCTGGTATTCACGGCATTTCTGGAGGATTTGCCGTACGGTGAAGATCTGGTCCGTTGTCGATCGGCCGTCAATGAAGCCGGCTTGATAACTTCCCACGAACTCGGTCATTTTAGATAGACGACGGAAGATGATCTGGGATAGCACTTTGTAGGCGGCATTCAAAATGGTGATCGCTCTGAAGTTCTCACATTCCAAATTCTTGTGAATGGGGCAGATTACCCCTTCCTTCCACTCCTCCGGTAGCTATTCTGTTTCCCAGATCCTGACCATCATCCGGTGCAGGCAGGTGGCCAACTTTTCTGGGCCCATCTTGATGAGTCAGTTCTGTCCTCTGCTGCACTGACGTAGTCGTTTCCTCCATTGCGCTGGTCTCCCGTGCCTACGTTCTCCTCGCCATTCAGGTGCGCATCGAAGTGCTGCTTCCACCTTTCAATCGCCTCACGTCCGTCCGTCAAGAGGCTCCCGTCCTTATCCTTGCACATTTCGGCTCGCGGCACGAAGCCGTTGCGGGATGGGTTGAGCTTCTGGTAGAACTTCCGTGTTTCTTGGGAACGGCACAGCAGTTCCATTTCCTCGCACTCCGCTTCTTCCAGGCGGCGTTTTTTTCTCCCGAAAGATGCGGGTCTGCTGTTTCCGCTTCTGTTTATACCGTTCCACGTTCTGTCGGGTTCCATGCTGCAGCATTACCGCCCACACTGCGTTCTTCTCCTCCAAAATCGCTCTGCACTTCTCGTCGAACCATTCATTCCGTCGACTTCTTTCCACGTACCGGATGGTGCTCTCGGCTGCGTCGGTGATGACTGCTTTTACTGTACTCCAGCAGTCCTCTAGAGGGGGCACATCAAGCTCGCCCTCCTCTGGCAACGCTGCCTCGAGATTCTGCGCGTATGCTAAGGCGACATCCGGTTGCTTCAGTCGCTCTAGGTGGTACCGTGGCGGGCGTCGGTACCGTACATTGTTGATGACGGAAAGTTTTGGGCGCAGTTTGACCATCACCAGGTAGTGGTCAGAGTCGATGTTAGCGCCACGATAGGTCCTGACGTCGATAATGTCGGAGAAGTGCCGTCCATCAATCAGAACGTGGTCGATTTGCGATTCCGTCTGCTGTGGTGATCTCCAGGTGTAACGATAGGGAAGGTTGTGTTGGAAGAAGGTGCTACGTATGGCCATGTTCTTGGAGGCGGCGAAATCGATGAGTCGTAGGCCGTTCCCGTTCGTCAGCTGGTGGGCGCTGAACTTTCCAATCGTCGGTCTGAATTCCTCCTCCTGGCCTACCTGAGCGTTTAGGTCTCCTATGATGATCTTGACGTCGTGGCTTGGGCAGCGATCGTACTCGCGATCGAGCTGCGCGTAAAATGCGTCCTTGTCATCATCAGTGCTTCCGGAGTGAGGGCTGTGCACGTTGATTATGCTAAAGTTGAAGAATCGGCCCTTGAT